GCCCGCTCCCCATCCAGGGCCTGGCAGGCGACATCGCCCTTGTAGCGCTCGTCCGACAGCTCCGTGGTCAGGTCGATGATCTGGGGGAGCAGGAATCCACAAAATCAGAGGGAAAATTAGAGGGTTTTGGGGAAAGCTGCAAAAGGCAGGCTTCAGATACAGCAGAGCTGTGAGCAGAGCTAAAGCAGCAGCTATGGGATAGGTCAGCAGAAAAATTATTTAAACTGTAGAAAAAGCAAAGGCAAATAGAACAATGGCTTGTGTATTAACGCTTGTCTGAATAGCTCTCTAAGCTGCAGAAAGTTTATCTAGCAAGATATTAGGAAGGTTAAAGCTTAATAATGGAGCTCTGTGCGTTGTGATTTAAGGCTTACAAGTAGGTATTGTATTTGAAATAAGCAAGCATTGTTTTTTTATCATTGCTTTAAAGCAAGCAAGCATTGTTTTAATCACGTGTGCTTATGGTGATTGGATAGAACTACTATCAATATGCTTTTGCTTTGTGTGGTTGGCCAAGAAGCTTGTAAACTAAGTTGTAGCATTAAGTTTTTTGGACTGCTGCTTAGATTGTGAGCTGCTAGCATCTTCCCATTGTCATAACCATGTAATGAGACTGATGCTGAAAAATAAAACAGCTCAAGACACATTGTACAGCAGTCCCATCTTGTTCTTGTTTGTAAATAGCCCCCCTGGATGGTGTCAGGGGCAGTCTGGGCATGGCTGGGGGGGTTCTGCCACACCACAGCCATGCTGACAGCTCTGCCTGCTCTCAGGAGTGCACAGTGTCCCTGCCCAGTGTCACCAGTGGGAGCCCAGGCTCCTGCCTGTGCCACGCTGCCTGCACTGCAGGGCTCATCACAGCTCTCCATTGTCCTACTTTATTGCATTAAACTTCCTTTGAAACCAGGAGCAGAAGGGGAGAATTATTAATCCAGAAAATCAATTCCGTTTTCCGCAGAGCGGACGGGCACATGGTCCTTGCTGCTCAGCCAGTCCAGCGAGGGGCTGCAGAGCCACAGCAAAACACAGCATTCCAACACTCCTGTGTCTGACAGCATTTTAAGGCACCTCACATTGTGCAGGCTCCTTAGGGAGTCCCACAAGCTTAACCCAGTAAGCGAATCCCACAGGATTTCTCTCCCTGGTGTTTTCCTAGGTCTGCCCTGAGGCAGTTCCCTCACTCAGCATTCCCAAAGAGCTTAAACTAAACCATCTTTACCCTTTCCCCAGGGATGAGGAGGGTCCTGGCCTTGAGGGCTGCTGCAGCCTAGACCCAGCCCAGCCCTGCTGCAGCCAAGGGAGCTGGGAAAACCCAGGGTATTTATAGAAACCTTGGGAGCTCCTTCTCCTCGTGATGCTTGGCAAAATCCCAGGCACAATCACAAGGAGCTGTGCATCTGAGAGCAGAGCCCACAGAGGACCAGCAGCCAGCTGGGAACACTAATTACCAATCCCAGAATGGTTTGGGTTGGAAAGGACCTTAAAGCCCATCCAGGACTTTAAGGGACACCTTGCACTAGCCCAGGTTGCTCCCAAGCCCCATCCAACCTGGCCTTGCACATTTTCAGGGATGGGGCAGCCACAGATTCTCTGGACATACTGAAGTGATGCCAGCCTGGAATTGTGCAGCTGGACACTGCAGAATCCTGTCCAGGGGGCCATCCCTGGCAGCTTCTCCTGCTCTGCTGGAACTGCTGCTCCTGTTCATCCCCACCAGTTCCCATCCCAACGTGGCCAAACAGGGCTGTGGCAGAGGTCTTGGGGTCTGTATCAGGTTTTTTGGGGTCTGTATCAGGTTTTTTGGGGTCTGTATCAGACATTTTGGGGTCTGTATCAGACATTCTGGGGTCTGTATCCGGTGTTTTGGGGGCTGTACCTTGCTCTCCAGACTCTCTGTAGTCTGTCTGAGCTCGCTGCACGCCTGCTCGGATTTTTCCAGCTTCCTTCTCAGCGCCGCCAGCTCCTCCTAGGGAAGATTGGAAAAAAACACAGAGAGAGAGAGAGTGAGTTCCAGCATCCTCGGTTTATTTATGAAAACCTTGTTTTCTGCTCAAAATAAGTGGAAGAGACATAGCTGCCTTATTAATAAAATTTACCAGGCAACTTTGAAGGCTGCTCACTGCAAATTGCCGGGACTACAGCTCCTGACATGAATTCCATCGGAGGGAATGTCAGCTTTGCTGTGTGTGGAGCATGTTTTATGAGAGAGCAGCAAGCCTCAGAAGCCTGGGATGAACAGCCAGGGGCCTGGATCGTGCCCAAGGAGTGTCCCAGGGCCCTGGCAGGTATCAGAGCACGGTGCAAAGGCACGGTGTTGGCTGTGATTCCTTCCCAGGCTGCAGGAGCTGCTCCGTGCAGCCTTGTCCTGCTTTGATGTCCAACACTGAGCGTGCAGAGCGGTGATAAAAACAGAGGTTAACAGATGATGGGGCCTGATGGATCCCAGGTGGGTTTGGAGACAAAAACAGAGGCTTAGGCAGCTTTTGTTTCATGTGAGCCAGCCTGAAAACATCTTGTTAAAACCTCACTCAGGCAAGAGGAGGAGTGGGACTCCAGGGAAGATGGGAATTTAGCACAGGTCTCAGAGGGTGCAGAGAGGTGAAAGGAGCGAAAAATGTCCATTAGCATCTCCCATCACCCAGGGCAACAGTGGGGACAGCACAGAGTGGAGTCCCCTCTGTCACAGGAGTGTTTGAATGCTCATCTCAGCACCCCACAGGCTGACAAACCCATCCCCAGGGGTTTGGCTCTTACACAGCCCCTGGAGCTTGCAGAGGGCACAAGGAGGGCAGTGGGGGATCCCTGGGGTGGGGTTTGACTGTGGGGACATGGTGTGTTTGCTACTGTCCCTCTAAGCAAGAAGTCACTTCTCCCTCCACAGCCCTGCAGAACGCGTGACACTGGGCTAAGAACAGAGGGCAATTTCTGGATGGTAGGAAAAACATCTTTGCTGGGCAGAAGTGACTTCCAGCTTGAGCAATGCACCAGGCAGAGCCCCTAAAGCACCCTGTCCTGTCTCCCTGTTCTTCTAAGCCTTCTGATGTTTACATTCTCGTAACAAACCTTCTCATGCACTTTTCTCTAACTAATTATTGTTTTACATTCTTTTCTGGAGGAGAAATTTGATGGACTGTTGGTTTATCCAGTGTCACTGGAGAGGTGGCACTGTCATCCTCCAATCTATTGTCATTTTTTGGAAAAATCTATAAACACTGGAGTCAGAAATTAAACTTCCCTTCTTTTTACCTTGGAGATTCCAGTGTGTGTGTTGTTTTATTTCATGTCCTATAGTGACATTGTCCTGTCCCATCCCAGCCCTTGGCACTCACCTCCTTGGCACGGAGCTGCTCCTCAGCAAGGTTCACACTGAGCAGGGGCCTCAGGTGGCTCAGCAGCTGCCACCAGGGCCAGTGCCTGACTGCCTGGAACACCTGCAGGTTCTTCTGGATGCAGCGGATGGCCAGGCGCTGGATCTGTGGGGACACAGCAGGGCTGACCCCCACCCAGCCAGGGAACACTGGGCTGGGACACCAGGCTGGACAGGGAAAGGTGGCAGAGGAGCTCAGGGATGGCAGCACAGCATCTCATGGCTGCAGGGGAAAGCTTTAAGGAGCTCAAAGAGCTGTTATTTGGGTGCTGTGGGCCATATCACAGGTGTGGGCTCAGGCGTCCCCAGCCCACAGGATGGGTACCTTCAGTCTCTTGAACTTCTGGCGGCTGAGGAAGCCCTTGCAGGCAGCCTGGAGCAGAGTCATCTTCTGGGCTATCAGCTTGTCCCGCTGCTTCTCCAGCCTGGAGATCACCCCCGGCTTCAGGAACACCTGGCAGCAAGGAACAGGTGACACAGCCCAGGTCAGGAAACTCTCCTTCCTCCTTGAAAGAGGCATCAACCATCACAAGGTGCAATTCCTCAAAATTTTCCTGTGGGATGCTGCCTGTTCTCTCCTCTGTGGGGATGGGATGGGATGGGATGGGATGGGATGGGATGGGATGGGATGGGAACCTTCACTGTCAGAGGATTCTGACAGGTGACACTCAGATGCACATGAGTAACAGCAATTATGGGTTACAATAGCAAAACCAAAATAAACCAGATTGTTTTCTTTCTCTGAACTGGCCAGAAACGGCTCAGAAATTACAGAGATTTGCTGATGCCATCAGACTCAGGCCAGTATCGATCTCTGAGTGTCTGAAGTGTCTCTGAGTCACTGCTGGGAGAAGCTCTTGGAATCCAGGATCAGGAGCTCCCAACCATTTGCACGACCCAGCTTTAATAACTCTGAGTGACCCGGGCAAGGCCGGGGCTGTGCTGAGAGCTGCATTTTAACCAAATTGAATCACAGCACAACCCCAAGGAGAGCGGCTCTCTCATGAGCTGATGCTATGATTGCTCCACCACCCATTCAATTCCCTCGTTAATGTCTGAATTAACTCCCCAGCCCTGCGAGTTTCACAGCTGGTACAAAATCAATGCTCAAAGCGACGGTGGAGCAAACCCGGCCCTAACAAAATGTGACCAGGGCTGCCACCGTGCTATTGATTAAGAACGAGGGTTCCAGAGAGGAGATAATTACAAACAGCACAGTGCAGGATAAAAAGAAAGTCATTTTGTTCCACGGAACCGTTCTGTGAATTCTTTCTTTACAGACTCCAGAGCTGAAGGCAAGCGCGCACGTGAAATTAATTTTTCTTTCAGACCATCGCACTGAAGTTCAAATGTGGTTGCTGTGACAGTTCCTGCTCTGCAGCAAACCCAGGAGCTGCCCAAGCCCCCTTCACTCCCAGGAGACATCAATGGTAATTAGGGACTTAAATACCACCAGGGGCTGCCTGGGTTTTGGTAATTAGGTACAGGATTTACCCTGGGTTCTGCTTTCAGATGAGAATTACAAGGTTTTGCTCTGATATTTAGCGACTCTCGGTTTCCCAGCCCACCTGGTGCCACGTGCAGCAGTGGAGGAGAGCCTTTGTCACCAATTTGGGGAACTTTGGGCTACTGGGGAGCCTGGCATGAGGCTGTGCCCACACACACAGAGCAATGGGGAGGCAGGGCACAGTCGTGGTACCTGGGTGTGTCCTATGGCAACGGTCTTCTTCTCCAGATCCAGCGCCTGGAACAGCTCCTCGATAGCCTGCAGAGAAGGGACAGATCATGGGACTGCTGAGGGAACACCCACACCCTGCTGGGGGCTGCTGAAATGGGGTGCAAAGACCCCCAGCCCTCATGGGCACCTGGTGAGGGTTCATCCAACCCTGCCTTCCTTTCCTCCTCCCCTTGCCAAGCCAAGTCCCAGTGCAAGAACTTTCCTCCCCCTGAGGTTTTCAGCAGGATGGCGAGTAGAGTTCTGCAGCTGCAGGTGAGATTTTCCTCCTTTTGCTGCCATCTCTGTTCTGGCAGAGCCTTGGTGCACGGGCAGGAGGTGACACAGGGGACAGTGCCTGTGTCAGAGCACTCAGTGGTCCCCTCCTGCCCACCTCACCAGCAGCTCATCCCATGGAGCCAAAAACAGGGGAGAGCTCTCCCCTGAGCCCACAGCACAGAACTCCTGGAGGATTCAAGCAGAGTATCCCAAGGAGAAGCCTGAACTCAATTACTCCAAGCTTTGGACAAGAACATGAACACAACAGCAACACCAGCCACTCCCTGGGCTGGATGGATGGATGGATGGATGGATGGATGGATGGGATAGATGGATGGTTTGAAAGCCCCAGGGCTGCAGAAATCGTAACAAAAACCCTCTGCTAACACCTCACGCCCCACAACATCATCTCATCTCCTCCCTGAAGGCCAAACCCACAGAAGGAATATTCCAGCACAGACCCAGGAGCAGCAGGATTGCACCCCTGGCCTCACCAGCAGCCGTGCAAGGAGGGCATGGAGCACAGCAGGGAATGAGATGTGGATCACAGAGCACAAACACCGTGGTGAGGAAGCAGCAGAGCTGTGCCTGTGCCTGTTCTGGTGGCACTGATGGGACCAGGAGTGGTGCAGGGCTGTGCAGGACAGTCCGATCCCAGCACAAACGCAGCTCTTGCTGTCCCCTCACAGCTGAGCCTTCCTCCTGCTCCAGCAGCCAGGTCAGTGCTGTGTCCCAGGCAGCATTTCCCAGCTGACAAGCCCTGGTGGCAGCGAGCTCCGGGGAGGATGGGATTTTCCAAATCCCCTGCTTACACGCTGCTGACAAGGCACCCTCTGCCTCCGACAGCATTTCGTGGCAATATTGACCTTTCCCAATTGTCAGACTTGTCTTATTAAATCCCGAGGTCTTAACTGCCTTTGCACATGCTGGCTGCAGTTTGCACAACATAGCACGTGCCCAGCTTTAATTCAGCTCCTCTCAGCTCTTGGTGGCTCATTCACAGCCTCATTCCAGGCATGGCTTTGTGCTGGTTTTGCTACAAATTTACTCAGAAACAAACAAAACTGGCAGATGTCCAGATTCCCTCCTGAGCTCTTTTGGCTTTCAGCATCACGGGGTGAGGTGAGGAGTCACTCCAGGTGATGCAGATGATGGCCAGTGCTCAGAAGATTCCACAGTCCCTGCTCTCTTGGGTTTCTGGGAATGCTTCCTGTCTTGCCCTCAGGTTTTTGGGGAGCCAGGGAGAGGGACTGGACCACAGCAATGCCCACATCCTCCCCTCAGCTCTGGCATCACCACAGCCCCACCAGGGGTCTCAGCCCATGCCCCCCAGCCCAGCACACACCTTGCTCTCATCTGGCACCTCGTAGGCAGAGTTGTGTTTCTTCATCACCTCGGGAGCCAGCACCTGGAAGCGCCTGCGGAACTGGGTGAGGAGCAGCCGGTCCGAATAGCCTGGGGGCACACGGGGGCTGTTGGGGGCTGTGTCACACACAGGGCATCATCTGAACAGTCTGGGAGCTGCACCACACCCAGGGCATGATCTGGATACCCTGGGGGCACACGGGGCTGTTAGAGGCTGCACCATACCCATTGGTATTGGCACACTGGGGAAGGACCTGCTGGGACATCCTGTGCCCATCAAAGGGCACCAGGGGTGAAGGGGACATGGGGAGCTGCCATGAGAGAGGAAATCCCTGCAGTCAGGGCAGGGAGAGGGCAACCAGATGAGTTTGAGATGGCCAGATGCCACCCCAGCACCTTGTGTGACACAGGACATGCCCCTGGGCCTCTTGCACAGCTCCCTGTCCCCATGGCATGGGATGTGGGCAGTGCAGGTCCAACCTGATGCTCCACTGGAGCTGCAGCCACAGAGCTCAGGCAGGAGAGGGGCTCAGAACCCCTGCAAAAAGCAGGGATAAAAATGGAGGAGAATTTTTGAACGGGGAATTTCTGAGGGAAGGGAGGATTCCTTGCCTGCTGGTGAGAAGCAGGTGATGAGCAAAGGCTGAGCAGGGGCAGGGAGCTGCATGTGAGACAAGCACAGGCCAGGATCTGGACATACCGACACGGTGGAGGCGCAGGGCATCCAGGAGCTGGGTCCCCTCCAGCTGTGTCCTCAGGGCCACCACGTCCAGCTCTGGGGCTGCATCTGGCGGTGCTGGGGGCCGAGGGATCGACCCTTCCCTGCCCATCCCCGGGAGCAGGCAGTGCACAAAGTGCAGCTGGGAGCGCCGGAGGAGGTTGGTGAGTGCATCCTGCAGGGGGGCAGAGTCAGTGGGGATGGAGGGGACAAAGGGACAGTGCATGCTGGCAGTGGGAAAGGCTCCCTGTGCCACCTGCAGGGTGGAGGGGTCAGCTCTGCGTTGGGAACAGCCTCAGTCAGAGGGTGAACACAGGGGATCAGCAGGACCCTTCCTCCTGATGCGCCACATGTTCAGGTGATGGCCAGAAAATGTACCAGGATTTGTAGAACCATGGAATGGTTTGGATTGGAATATTAAAGATCATTGAGATTGAGGGCTGCTGGGCAGGGGGTTTACCAGGGACAGCCACGACCCCAAAAGGGGCTGGCCAGGGACTCAGCAGAGCCTGAGCCTCAGCTCCTGAAGGAGTTTGGGCACTGAATGAGGGGTGAGAGAGGCAGGAGCCTGGCACTGCCCAGCGCCCAGGGCTGGCTACTGTCTGAGCACGTAAGAGGATTAAAGCAGCGAGGTGCTGGTGTAATCTGTGTGAGATCTCTGTTTAATCTGTGTGAGATCTGACATCTGTGTGTGATCTCTGTGTAAACTGTGTGAGATCTCTATGCGATCTGTGTCTAATTATCTGTGACCTGTGTGTAATCTGTGCAAGATCTGTGAGAGATCTGATGCTCCAAGGGGAGCTCCACTGGAGCTGCAGCCACAGAGCTCAGGCAGGAGAGAGGCTCAGAACCCCTGCAAAAAGCAGGAATAAAAAAAGAGGAGAATTTCTGAATGGGGAATTTCTGAAGGAAATGTGTGTAAACTGTGTGTGATCTTTGTGACATCCGTCTGTGATCTGTGTGAGGTCTGTGTCAAATTATCTGTGATCTGTGTGAGATCTATGTGTGATCGGAGATCTCTGCACGATTTGTGTGAGGTCTGTGTGACATCTGTGTGTGAACTGTGTGCAAACCGCATGAGATCTGTGTGTGATCTGAGATCTGTGTCTGATCTGTGTGAGATGTCTGTGATCTGTGATGTATGTGATCTGTGTGTGATCTGAGATCTCTGCACGATTTGTGTGAGATCTGTGTGACATCTGTGTGTAAACTGTGTGAGATCTGTGTGTGATCTGAGATCTGTGTAAAATCTGTGATCTGTGCATAACCTGTGCACAATCTGTGTGAGATCTGTGTGTAAACTGTGTGAGATCTGTGCATGATCTGTGTGCAATCTGAGATCTGGGTGCCATCCGTGCCTGATCTCTTTGCCTGGGGGGCTCTCCCTGGGTGCCAGCAGCTCAGCACTCCCGGATGGCCACATCCCCAATAGGAACAGGCAGGATCTCCCTGCTGGGAGTGCAGACACCCCTGTAAGGCACCGTATCCAAGCCAAAACCCCCCCGGGTATCCCCACGCCGTGTGCCATCACCCCTCCATCCCGCACCCACC